AATCGCGTTTGAATTTGCGCTTGTTTTTTTGCTTTCACTTTGCAATCGTGCGAACTGTGTATAGAGAGCGACAGCACTGATCTGTGAGTGATGATAATTTGCGCACCAATTCCTCTGACATCGTCTTATTAATCGTTAGCTTACTATGCAAACATGACAAGTGAAATCTCCCAAAGCAAGCTTAAACATGTGAGAGGTTGATTGCGCAGAGAATCGCTGAGCTTATGTGAGTGCGTGTGTAAAAGCAGCAGGATATATATATTTTAGTTCTGCTGAGCCAAATAAGACAGGTCAGGGTGAAGAAGTGACAGCCAAAGAAAAGCTTACTAAAAAACGGAGAAGTTATGACAAATCAGACTATAAGGCAAAAAGAAAGTGCAGCTTTATGGTTTCATGGACAAAATAATTTCTGTGGCTGCAATATGACGAGCTAAATAACCAGGGCTGCACATAAGTGGTCCGCAGGTGCGCATTCGCTGTCAAAATAAAAAACACGCACAAGGGTTAGGGTTAAATTTAAAAACTGTACTTTTGAGTTAAAATATAAATTTATAATTTTAATAAATGAAAAATTAAAAAGGCATGAACATTTTTTTTGTATCGAAAAAATATCGAACCGTGACACCAAAGTATCGAACCAAACCGAACCGTGAATTTTGTGTATCGTTGCACCCCTAATATGTACATATAACAATAATGTTAATGATAACGAAAAACAGCAATATTCAGATGAGCAGAGTGAGAACTCGACAGAACTGAAAAGTAAAATCACCCTGATATTCAGTGTTACTCCCTTGACTGTAATGCTGTAATATTTACTATTAACCCTTAAACACATAATTTCCTCTCAGTGCATGTTTTTTTTTGTCAGACTTGAAAAAACTGAATATTTATCTTGCTCCGTACATAATTTGGACTGTTTTAAGCTCGGCCAGGTCAATAAATTTAAGTGTGTTTAATTTAAGAGTAAGTTAGATGGTGGATTGAAGCCAGTTCTATTAATGACTTTAATTGCTCATTTACAATGTAAATCAAGACTGTGCTGTGAAAATGTATCCAGGTGACATATCGAGAAATGTTTTTGGAAAAGGTATTTTAGAAAAATTAAATAATTGTCTCCAGTCATTAATAAATCCAGTTCTGTGAATATATGACTCACATTAAGTCTTCATGATATGTTTGTGGGGTGGTTAAAAGGATGGCTACACTTTAGTTTAGCCAAACCTTAGCCAACTCCTTTAAGCCAACCCTTTACTCTGCTCCTGGGTGCAAATGCACATAAAAAGCAATGACTCACTTTGGTTTCAAGTAAAACAACTTAGTTTTGTTACTGACCAACAAAGTAACATTACAAGACACTGCTGGACGTTAAATGGTAAATGGGACTGATACTCATATAGTGCCTTTTGACTCATTTGAGGAATCAAAGCGTTTCTACTGTAAGTGTCATTCACCCAATCACACACAGCAACATGGGGTTTAGCATCTTGCCCAAGGATACTTCAGCATATGGACTGGAGTATGGATCGATCCACCAATATTTACAGTTTAACTGCTACTCATGTGCTCCTCCTTATATTGTACAATTGATGTCATGCATATATGTACGTATATGTACATACTAGAATTTCTAAAAACTTAAAAATATCAGTATTTAATGTCACAGGGAAAAACTGAGTCCACATCATTGTAATTTGTAGGTACTCAGTAGATAAATATAACAAGGCAACTAAGACGAATGACAAGAACACAGCACTGTGAGAGAACAAGAGGAGGCGGTGCTATGCTGGCAGTTGGTGTGTGTCTGCATGTTAGCTTGCTGTTGGAGCATAACTGGCATCAGCCCATTAATACTGTGAAAAATAAGTGATGACAGCTTAGAATATTCAGAACTGACATACAATGAAAAAATCATTAGATTTTGATAACATCAGTTTGCAATTCCATTTGTAGTCATCAACTACAAAGATCGACTGAGGCACACATCTGCTCTCCAAATCACTTGCCCTCTTCAAATTTTGGGAGAAAAAAAAAAGAAAAAAAATGAAACCAAAAGGGAAAATATATTTTCTATATTTGTGTCTTCATGGCAGGTTCAAATTCAAATTCAAATTTTATTTGTCACGTACACAGTCATACACAGTACGATATGTAGTGAAATGCTTGGACAACTGCTCGTGACCTAAAGAAAACAAAAAAGGAAAAGGCTATGAATAAGATAGGAAATAAATATGAAAAATTAAAAAGGGTAAATTTAACTAGGAAGGAATAAAATATAAATTAAGGTTAAAAATGAAATAACTGTACAACACAAATTAGAATGAAGGGTAAATTTAACTGGGAAGAATAAGATAACATATATAAATTAAAGTTGAAAATAAAATAACTGTACAACAAAATACACAATATAGAACTATATAAGAATGTATGAAGAAATCTAAATAAATATATACAAAATAACAGCAACTGTACAAGTATTAACCGGAAATGAAGAATATAGTGACCAGTGTTGTGCAAAACCAAAGTCCAGAAAGTCCAGTGTGTGTGTAAGAACTGTATGTGTGGGTCAGTACTGTGTGGTGGTGTGATTGAGAGACCGTATCGCCTGCGGGAAGAAGCTCCTCCTCAGTCTCTCTGTGTTGGTCTTCAGGGAGCGGAATCGCTTTCCTGACCTCAACAGAGAGAACAGTCTGTTGTTGGGATGGCTGAGGTCCTTCACGATCTTCCTGGCCTTGGTCCAGCACCGCCTGCTGTAGATTGAGTGCAGGTCAGGGAGCTCGGAGCGGATGGTGCGCTCAGCTGACCGCACAACCCTCTCTAGAGCTCGTCTGTCCTGCATGGTGCTGTTCCCGAACCAGGTTGAGATGTTTCCCGCCAGGATGCTCTCTATGGTGCACGAGTAAAAGTTCCTGAGCACCTTGGAGGGCAGTTGGAAGTCTCTCAAGCATCTGAGGTGGTAGAGACGCTGTCGGGCCTTTTTCACCACAGTGTTGATGTGACAGGACCATGACAGGTCCTGCGTGATGTGAACTCCGAGGTATTTGAAGCTGTCCACTCTCTCCACTGGGCACTCGTTGATGACGGGGGTCTGGTAGTTCCTCTCCTGCTTAGTGCTGAAGTCCACTATCAGCTCCTTTGTCTTACTGACGTTTAGAAGGAGGTTGTTCCTCTGGCACCAGTTCTCCAGATTCCTAATCTCCTTCAGGTAGGCCGTCTCGTTGTTATCAGAGATCAGGCCCACCACGACGGTGTCGTCAGCAAACTTGATGATGGTGGTGGAGCTGGTAGTGGCCACACAGTCATATGTGTACAAAGAGTACAGCAGGGGGCTCAGAACACACCCCTGGGGGGCTCCAGTGCTGAGAGTGGTGGAGGCTGAGACATGTCCGCCCATCCTTACTGCCTGTGGTCTGCCAGTTAGGAAGTTGGAGATCCACTGACACATAGATGAGCTGAGTCCCAGATGCTCCAGCTTGGTGGTGAGTGTGGAGGGAATTATGGTGTTCCTCCTGCTAATGTCAGTTTTCAACGCTCGACAGCAAATAAGCTACTCAGCCGAAACACATTAAACAGCATGTACAAGTCACTCGGGTCTGTTGAGATGCTGCCGGGCTTCTTGTGCCTCAGCACCACTAACAACATGCTGTCTGCCCGTGACATGTAAGTTACAGTGCGAGTTTGATTACTTTCTCTCTCATTCCTCCTGGTGTATCAGCAGCAGACAAACACAGGAACAAGAATGACTTGAGCTGGCCTTTTCAGCCTTAGATGGCTATGTGCATTTATCTGGCATGCCTCCTATCCTGATGCAATAATAATATTGTTTACAATAATATTTTGAAATTCGAGTCAGGTCAGTGCATTTGAAAACAAGAGATCAATGCTAAAAGAGTAATAATAAAACAATACAACACATTCAAGTTATAGTTATGAAAAAAATAATCAGAGCTCTGTCTGGTTTAAAAGACAAGTTGTAAAAATTAGTTTTATAACAGTCCGAAGATTTTGCAGCAACTACTGTAAAAGAGACGATATCCTTTATATTTAAATCTGTACAATAGGACATCAAGGATTACCTGCTCAGCAGATAACAGTGAGTAACGTTTAAAGATCAGCGAGGTAGGTGCCAACCCATGTAATGACTTAAAAACGAACAATAAAATCTTAAAATCTAACATGGGTGAAATGCAGTGTTGTTTGCGAATACCAGGTCAGAGTCCCACAGCAGCCTTTTAGACGAGCTGCAGTCGAGCAAGAAACAACTGACTGACACCTGAATAGAGACTATTGCAGAAGTCACGCCGAGATGAAATGAAGGCATGAATAACCTTTTAGAAAGTCTCTGAAGCAGAGAAACGGTTTCACCTTCACAAGTATCACTAAGTTGAAAGAAGCTAACTTTGACAGCAGCATTTATTTGTTCATCAAAAGAAAAAAAATACTGCAGAGGATCAATCCCATGTTAAAGGGTTTTTTTTTGGATCCTTAAAGGATCGACATTGTCAGGTCAAGGCTTTCCAAACGATGTTTCTGATCGTTTAAATTAGGAACACCTAATGGCATCCAGAAACAAGCCACAATAATGTAATACAGCTGTTAAAAGAAAAGCATTATGCATATATATTTTTTAACCCAGTGGTTTATCTGATGGCAAACCGAGCAGAGCCTGAGCTCAGCAGAGGAAGCTGCAGATGTAGCCTGCAGGTACTTTTGCATTTGTAATGAACAATCTCGAACAGACCATATAAAGAAGCTATTTCCTCATATCGCAAAATCAATACAGTGAGATGCACTGTAAAGCAATATAATGAGACTTTTGGCATACAGCAAGTGTTTTTGGCATGAAAACCGTGTGGGGGAGGAGCATACTAAAATGATTTCAAATAGCTAGCTAATCTTCTCATGTGAATTCCAAAGTATAAGTAGCTATGCCGCAAGACACAAGTTAGATAAACAATGTAAAACAATGTAGTGAGAGAAAAATGAAATTGAAGCAATACCTTCAGTCCTCCACACTCTGCTGCTGACCCTTGGTCCACTCCAGTGATGTAAATACCCAAAGCGTATTCCGCTCCCCCTCGGATCATCAGACCCAGAGACCGGCCATCATCTAAAACCAGGTTGACCTATTTAACACAAAGAGAGAAACCAATAAAACAGGACGAATAAGGGTATAAATATCTGAAGTATAATATAAATATCAACATTTTAAATGACACTGCAGTCTCGATTGTTTTCCTTGACGGGCTGCCAGATTTGCTCATGGTGTCGGGCTGCTCACATTGAAATGAAGTTGTGAAACACAATCCATGGAGCAAATGACAGCCCTGCTCTGAGATGGCATTTGAGAGCAAGGAGATGAAGAATTTCAGGAACTACTTAGATGCGGTGAGTCAGCACCATTAATGGGGGAGTCAGAATCTGTTTTGATTAGAGGAACGGCTCTCTGAATTGGTCAATCAGTTGGTTCACAAGGCTCATCCGTGTCATTTCCTCTGATAAGCAGCATGGACAATATCGGACACAGTTTGAATTCAAATAAACCACCACAGGAATTGTTGGGGGACTACAAGATATCTCTGCTACACCACCCAATTAAAGTGCTTCTGCAGGGAGTGAGTGATTTGTAGACGATGTACTGTGCATGACTAATCCGGTGCTTCCCTTAAACTTGTTTTCAAAAGATATTCCACTAGAACCACAGCGTCTATTCGGTTTGTGGCCTAATGAAAAAAAATGTGGTCTCTGATAAAATATGGCCATTACCAATGTTATCCTTGCGCACTAAAATAATTGTGCTTAAGGGCACCTTGTGTGCATCACTCAGATGCCACTGGCTTGGCAACACAGTAGTACACTACGAGAAAAGAGCAGGTCAATGAATCCGACTAAACCAACTAAACCAACTAACTAAAACACTGACGTGAATTTAAACCAATTCAAATAAATAAGGTCAATAAGGTAAAAACTTGTTGGCATATTTTTTTAACCAATAAATACAATTCAGTTTGTTTATATTCTTGGATACTATTGTCAGATTTTATTCTACAAAGTTAGGAAAGCAATGTTTAAGTCAAATCTGATTTTGCCTCACACATGCAGAGAGGAGATGCTATGTTATAAAGAAGTATAAATGTAATAAATGTAAATGTGTCTGTTTTCTTATACTTTCAAAACTAGAAACATTAGAAGACAGTATTTATGTGTTTCCTTGTTTGTCATGTATACTGTCACAGTACATGCTTATCTTAACCAAAGTTTTAAATACTGAGGTCAGTGTGTGTACAAGCAATCAAAAAATCCCAAACTTCAGACTGTTGTAAATGTTTATTTTAGATATTTTCCCTATTTTTTTTTTAAACAGTATGATGTAACTGAAGGGGGTATGCTTAATATATCATGTAACCTCAGGCATTTTAAGATAAATAGAGATTATCCTCGAGTCCTTGAGTAAAATTATGGACCTGGAAATGAGCATAATAGTTCCCCTTTAAAACAGGCATGGCACTTTTACCCCAGGTTATATATAGTACTGCAGCTGTAGATATTAACCACCCAGCTGCTGCCAAATGACTTGGTTAGCAGAAGAGTTTGAAAGACTTAGGTGGTCCTATTTGCAGTGTGTGCAAGTGTAATGATGGGTTCATTCGACTGTTAAACCACTTTATTGTAAACTGTCAGGAATTCTAGCAGGGCATTGTTTAGTGCCTCTGGGTCATCTCATCAAGACTTTCCTTCAACTCCACAGCTATTTGCATTGGCCCTTGAGCCTCTAGCTCACTTAATTAAGTAATCTTCTAATGTCAAAGGCATCTCTTATTTTATGACACACAACATTACATGCTAATGATTTTCAAATGTGATTCTACCCCAAAACAACAATAAAAAGATATTAGGAAAAAAAAAAAAAACATCCTAGGCCCATTGTTTGCTCCATCCCCCCCCTTTCTACTACTTTATACCAGAGCACTAAGCCATGCTTTTTAATTAACAGTTGGTCAAGCTTACCCAGCTTAAACTTCAAAATACTCTGGTTTCTCTATAATTGCCATTGGGGCTACTTGGATGAACCTAGCATTTGTAGAATATCTACATTTGGAAAGCAAAGAAACAACATCAAATTTTACTCTGTCCACATGGGGAGGCTCAGTATTGCTTAGCTATGCCAGACTATAAATTGTACTTTTCTCCATCACAATGAGGCTCTTGATTACTTGGTTTGATCAGAGTGCAGCTGTCTCTTGCCAGATTTGAAACGAGGGATCAGTTGCACACTGGCGGCTACAAGATGGCACATATGCTAATATCTGTATTAAACAATGTCACTTTCATCCAAGTGATATACCCCTTGGCAAAGACTTGACATCTGACGCAGAGGTTTTACTTTCATTCAGAGCATATTGCACTGTGGTCCTCCTTTTTAATAACAGCTATCTGCCTATCGGCGATAAGCGAGCCACCTTTGCTCACTTCTAGGAATATGCAGGCATTCATGTTTTCTGTGACATTTATGCAGGACATGGAGCATAGTTTTAATTACCAGATTCATTCTGCTTTTTCTGGCACAATATAGCAACTATTGGTGCACACTATATTCCCCAGCATCACTGTGCCAGTGTCCGGCAGCCTCGCCTCTGTCAGTGCGCCCCAGGGTGGCTGTGGCTACAATGTAGCTTGCCATCACCAGTGTGTGAATGTGTGTGTGAATGGGTGAATGACTGGATGTGTAAAGCGCTTTGGGGTCCTTAGGGACTAGTAAAGCGCTATACAAATACAGGCCATTTACCATTTATTTGGCTTGAGAAAGTCTTGAGTTACATTTGCAGAATTTTCTTCTTCAGTATCCACTTGCACTGCGAAGCATCATCTGATCATTTTGCAGCATGTGACTGAGTCTGAGCAGAGGTTATAGCCCTGCACGCTTTAGAATCCTGCTACTGCTATCATAAATCAGAGAGCGCCACTCTTCCCCCAAAGGGAAGGGCAATACTAAAACTCTGACACTCTCTCCATGCCCATGCTCCATTTTTTTCATGGTCAACTTTGATCTTGGGTACTAACAATGAACGTCAAGGTCAAATGCTTAGCTCAAGTAGCTACTCATGTCCCCCAAGGCCTACAATTTTGTTGTGAAGTTCGAAGACGACTCATAAAAAGTTGTGGGTAAAATATGAAGTTTTTACTGATTTTCACATTTGATGTGACGATGTGAGTTTCACTGAAATGAAATCACATGGAGTTATTGGTATCTAACACAACACAAAATTTTGAAAAATTGTATTTTGAAAACTGTGGATACTAGATAAACAAACAGACAAACAAACAGACAGAACCGATTACATAATGTCTCCATTTGGGGGAAGAATTAACACTAAAGTCACCAGTTCCACTGCAGCCATAAATGCACATAACAGTGTCTCCACTACATTTGACAGATGTTGTAGATTGCTTCAGATCATGAACTGTTCCCCTCGCTTTACTTTTCTCTCCTCATCAAGTACAAGTTAATTTTGGTTTCATCTGTAAAAATATTAATATATTTGTTTTTGGTTGTTGTTGTTTTTCACAGAACTGTGCCAGCTGTGATGTGTTTTTGGTCTAATCTGGCCTTTCTGCTTCTGACTATAACCACTGTTTTGCATCTTGTTGTGAACTCTCTGTATATACATTCATGCTCTTGGTGTTGCCTTGGCTAGATGTTGTGAAGGATTCTTGACCAGGGAAAGAGCTGATGATCACAGAATTCTTTCCATGGTTAAAAGAAAAATCTGTATTCATCAATTTTCTGTGATGTTACTGAGCTGGATGGTGTTAAACTTTTCCATTTTTAATGTATTTTAAAAATATTTTAAGTGCCAGGTTGCCTAAAGTTTTGCTAATTCTTTATAAGTTTATTTTACTTTTTCAAAATTTTACATTGAGTAACATTCTGAAATTTTTCCACAATTTGTAGACAGGTATTAGCAGATTCATGCACATTTGTCCATGTTTACTTCTGAGAAACTCTTAAATGCTCTTTTTATATCAAATTATGTTATTGACCTGTTGCGTTTTGAAAACCAAGTTAGATTGGAGGCTTGCTACATTTTAATATAGCTAATAAAAAGTTGTACTACAGTAGAATGACAATAAAATTCCACCTTCCCGAAGAAGTAGCTGAGAGAGCATTGGATGTTTTAAGAAATTTGCCAATAAAAAGCAAAGCCATACATGTACTGTCCGGATGCTACAAAGCAACTTTCAGTAGTTGTGGTATTGATACAAAGCACCTGATTGGACTTGGATGCCGTTCACTTACAAATTCATACATTTCAAATTAATGAATGATTAGTAGGTTTCAGATTATCCAAAAGGGGAACAGTTCTGTCATTATCAGAACAGCTGTGGATCAAAGGAACTCTAGCTTGCATAATTCAGAGCATGGTCTCACCCACAGACTAGAGAGCTGAATGAAGCAATTCCAAAAGAAAATAAACTTAATTGAGACATATTTTCTAACATATTTCTAATTCCATCCTATGCATGACTCAAAATTAATAATATCAGAAATAGAAACTAGAATTTCAATGAACTGCCAAACTCTATTTAGTACTGGATTAATATTTGCTCATCTGCAATGCAGAGCTGAAGTCTGCATTAATAGAGAAGATAAGATAAGATAAGATAAGATAGAACTTTATTAATCCCTCGGGTGGGTTCCTCTGGGAAATTCGACTTCCAAAAAAAGCACAGCAACGACCAAAGTTACAGTTACAGAACTGTTATATATATATACACACACACACACACACACACACACACACACACACACACACACACACACACACACACACAGAGCTGAAGCAGTTAAGATTAATATGTAGCTCTTAGGTGCTAAAAAATTGAAAGTTCTAGTGCAATAAATCTTTTAAACAGCTCTGATAGCTCCTTTCCTGCAGGTCATGAGGTGATGAGAGCGTAAGGTTTTACGGCACTCGAGGTCCAATTATTTTTATCGTTTAAGTTTTTAATTTTAGCATCCAGTGTTATACACTTCTTTTACTGTGCCTAAAGTTAGCCGGCTCACACAACCAAACTTAAAACCAACTCCCATTAAAATTCAGCATCTGAAACATATCTTTTCAAATTTATTCAAACTGTTTTTAACTGTCTCATTTTAAGAAGATTAGAAATTACAAGATAGGACTAATATTTATCCAGTGGCTGTATTTGTCCAGTCAGGTGATGAAATGCTTAAAGTTCAACCTCATGATTATTGTTCTCTAAGGTCAGTTAATTGAACTCTATGAATATGTAGGATGAATGGAGGATGAAGCCTTTTCTAGCTGTCACTGGATTAGAGCTGGGGTACACTGTGAACTGGTCGCCACCCCATCAGGCTAACACAGTGCAATAGACAACCTTTTCTCCTCACATTCTCACAAACAGCCAATTTAGAATTTCACCAGTTAACCGAACAGGTATGACTTGGAGAAGAAGCTGGAGTTCCCTGTGAGAAAATATGCAGTCACAAGAACATGCATTATAACACCACACAAAAAGGCCTCTGCACGAACATTTTCTGCAATTCTGGGATGTGATCAAATAGTCAGTTTTGCTTAGGAAGGTTCCTAAATACAAATAGTGGACAAGCAGTGCAGGTCGTGTAAATGTTAATTACCAGTGAGTCTTCATTTCATGCTACAATGTCCTGATATGTTCTGGACCTGAACAAACTGTTAAACCCACAGGTTAACTATAGCAATTATGCCGCAGTAATGCAATCTGTCTGTTATGAAGATCAGAGTGAGCTTAAGGTTTACTATAATTCAGCTTGCATTAGTTATGTGCTGAGTGTTGCTGCATTGCCAGCCTTTAGGATTATAATTAATTATTTTGCTTTAGTCACAGAGGCTGAGAGGAGCAATAAAGGCAGGAGTTACCCTGCATCATGTCTGTAGTGGGAAGAGTGAGGGGACAGGATAAATGACAAACATTTCACTTCACTTTACACATTCCCTTTCTAAACATTCTAGCCTTGATAATAACGTCACCAGTTCATCTGAGTTTATAAAGCCTGCGTCAAGCAACACAACAAGAATAAAGTATCTAAAATGGGCTAGGGGACATTGTCATTTCCACACTGCAGACAAATGTCAAAAATACCTACTGTCACTTTATTAAACGGTGTACTCTAAGTGTATGAATCGTCTTGCTGTTTTTTGTTGAGGTCAAGCGAAAGTGACAGGGACTTCAGAGAAAAACATCAAAAACATCAAGTTGTGCCTCAAATGACTCAAGTAAGAGTTAAATAGAGTGGGCATCAGAGTCCAAACAAAGCAGTGCTGCATGGGGACTCGTTGATCTGTATCAGTACAGTGAAAAACCTTCCCTAAAGTGAATACTCCCATCTCAGTCTTAAACCTTGTTCACAGCGTGACGTCTTTTCCAGAGGCAAATTTTTAGTCTGTGCCACTGGAGGAAGTCGAATAGGATTTTTATTTTGTGAAATCTATGAGACGTTTGATGATTTATGTATCAAATGCTTTTAGACTTTGTTACTTACTTTAGCATCACAAAATTTAGCCTTAGCATACACCATTAATCTTTTGGGGGTGCATTCTTCTGCCCCTTAAAACATACTGGTCAATATAGAGCGTCTCTCTAGAAGTTCTGTGGATGTCTGTGTGCAAGACAGGTGCAGAACACTGACAGGTTATCAGTTAACTGTCCATTTCATTTAAAGTTTCTCATTGGGAGTTATGTTGGTGAACTGCTTGTCAAAGCAAACGATTCTTGCTGTTGTTTCCGCGTACTGTCCAAAACCTAATAAAAAGATATAGTAAATGACAGTTGGCTTCTTTCTGACCAATGCTGAAACTAAAAATGTTTTGGAGGCTTCTTTGCTCCAATCAGTGCACATAGTGTAGTGTAATAGTAAACATAGCAAATACAGGCTGTTAAAAGTACAGGAAGGAACTAATTTTATGTTTTTTTAAAAGGCATTTTTGGTCCTCTAGTTTAATGGTTTGCATGTAAGGTCTCTACCTTCTTCTCATCCCCTTCCTGCAGTAGCTGCATGTTGCTTCGGCGCTGACTGTCAGTTCTTCTCAGAGTGGCGCTGCGATGCTCAGGCAGGTCAGGAGGAGGAGACACGCTTCGGCCCTGAGGGTCAACCCAGGTATAAACGTGGTTGGTGACATAGCCGCCTGGAATGCGACCGACTGAACGCACTGAGAGGCAAAGCTTTTTACTTCCCTTGAGCACCTGAGGAGAAGAAAAGAGAGCGGAGGAGAATAAATTTAGGCCAAATAAAAATTAAAAATAAAAATTTGCTTTTCAGTATGTGCTTGAGTTGAAGGAGCAAAGTATACTCGCATATCTACACTTGAGTCAATTTAATTTGATTTGACAAAGCCAAAACATACTCCCACACATAAACATCCATGGTTATAAAATCAGTGTGAGGGCTTAGAAGAAGATATTGAAGTGAGAGACAACACACACAAAAAAAATCAAGCTGAAACGAATGTTTGGTCGAAAATTAAAGATTGCAGAGAGAAATGGCCAATATTTGGAAGGCTTTTCTAATATCCAAAAACCCCAAATGACCAAACAGCACCACCACCCACCCACACAAACAACAACACTTCTAACACATTTCTATAGAAAATTGCTGTTGGCTGTGCCTCATTGCCTTCTGATAGCTTGCCATATGTGCAATCCCTCTGCAGATCGATGTATTCCCATGTGCCTCGTGGTCTGGAGGAATCAAGCTGAATAGGGTTGAATCTCTTAATGATCAAAAAAATCCTTGTGTACCACCAACACAAAAGGACTCTCGACTTTCATTTCATACTAACGAAACACACACTGTTGATTTTTAAAACAGATACTGCAACAATCTCAAGATTTGTGAAATACTGGCTCACTATACAGCTAGAGTCCAAGACTGTCACAACAAAGACCACACCACAGCGTGGTAAAAGACTTCCCAAAGTTCCTCTTTGTCAGGAATCCAATTTAATTTGTTACACAGTGTCCCTCCATTCTCTTCTTTAGTGAGCTACAATTAAGCTACCCCTCCCATCAATCTTTGTTCATTTGTCTTCTTGCTACAGTTCTCGCAAGGAACTACTAAATGCTTCTGTTGAAATGCCTATTAACATATGCTCAGAGCAACAACTAAAATCATTACTTGTCAGAGTGCTGTGGATTGCAGCGGAGGCCCATCTCTTTGAGCACAACAACCCGACTGAATCAATTTCACAATTTTGATTTGTGCCGAGAGATAATAACTTCAATTCTGAGGCAACAAACCCCTGTCAGCAGTGAAGATGCCTGACTGTATTGCCATGCCTTTGAGCACTCTCTCCCTCTTTCACCTCCTGCTCCCTTTCTGGGCGGCATCGATGCAGAACTGTAGATAAACATACATAGCAGATAAGTTGAGTAACACATGAGCAAAGAAGGAAGAAATGTGTGCATATAATATCCAAGAAAAACCACAAACTGCATGAAGTAGAAAGGGAAAACTGCATGTCTTTGTGATTAACTGCGCCAATTATGACTGTGGTAACGTCAAAAACAATCTCCTTGTTTTGAGCAATGCGTATTGTCACCAGAACATGAAATGTGTTGCATCCGTCTGAGCCAGAAGACATCACCAGAGGGTCCTGGGAATCAAAACATAATCATGATGGAAGGCTGATACTGAAAAAAGCAAATAAACTTCATTCATTGTTTAGTCAGCATTGGCATTCCCATTGCTGGGTCCATTAATAGTCTAACAGCACAAAACTAGTAAATTAATTTTTATTACCTACAAGCATGGTGAAATAAGTAAGAGTCACTATATATTACTCTAGAACTGGGACACAGCTATAATTACAACTATAGTTATTATAGAGGAGGACAGAAATTTGTATTGCATGGTGATTAAATCACTGCAGAACCTTTACAATTCAATTCAGGCTTTGAATGTGCTGCACCATCTATAATCTAAAGCGGTTAATTATAGTTGCAAAAAATGTTTTTGAGATGAAGAGTTCTGCACTGATTGCTCATAAAATGTGGTCTGACTTTCATCTAAGTCACGATTACAAACAAACAACCTTTGACTAACATTACAACACGACAACAGCTGTACTTTTCAGGTCGTCATTAACACGTTGAATAATCGCACACAGAGATAGTTGAAGTGTGTGAAACTGTGATAATCAGTCAAATAAAGTTGGAGTCAGATGTTTCACTTAAGAAGATGGGACTGCAAGTATTAGATGTGCAGACAAAGTCTTGTTATTGACAGTTGGTTGATGAATGTGACCTTACAAACAGCTTTACATAGATGCATTGTGCTGGAAAATGATAGTATAACATTTCTTAAGATCTGGCTATTTAGTACTTTGCAATAACACAAATGGAAATTCGGCACACTCTCTTAGGATTGGGCATCTTCCAAGGATTGCACCAAGAGCAGAATGTGCAATCCTGAAATAGGAAAAAATGCACATGAAGGTAACAAGAAAATTAGAGATACAGTTAAAGTTCTGGCAACAATACAAAAGCCTATGTAGCCTTAGTACTGTGTGCCCACACCAAAACCTTATGCATACTGAAATATTACAGCCACACTAGGGCAAATAGCAGTTAGATACTGGCATGATCAAAATTATTGTGACTGTATGCAATGAACTTGCGATCTTGTTGTTTTGAAATGGTTGCTTTAAAGATGCGAACCATATCTCCAACCACTCGCAGTCAGCTGCAGTCTTTAAATCGACTTTAGCCCATTAAGACAGTGATAAAAATAGAAATGTCTGCTATCAGTTTGAGTCGATTAAACACCATCTGTTTGTAATATTATGGCAATTAACTGTGAGAAATCAGTGAAAATTGGGAGTCTGCTGCAATCCATTGCAGTTCTATTACCATCTAAGCACACACATGTTAAAAAGCAATTCACATTAACTACTCAGATTTAAAGTTTACCTCAAACCTTGTAGATTAGAAATAGAAATTCCTCCACAAACAAAGAAATACTTGCTTCAGGATGGCAACTTAACTGCAAAGTGACGCTCAGTAGCCTTGCTTGTTGTTAGGAACATAACCAGAAAGTTGGCAACAAGTTGAAACAAGATGCATAGACGGACTCAGACTAATTGCAATGTATCTGCAATCTTGGCAATTATAAATTAAACAGCAGGTATTGCACACTTCACATCTGATCAAGGCAGTTGATCATCACGACTACTTGTAATAGCAAAATTACCACCAACTGATGCTACTTTTCGTAGTTGTAAGGAGTCTGCTATCCTATTATATACTTTAGTGTGAATGAGCCATAAAGCATGGTGGTGGTATGAATACAGTTTAGGGCTTTTTTGCATTGGTTTGCTGCGTCAGTCTCATATGTAAGCAGCTATGAAACATCTGGCCCCCTGTAGATTCTCCTTTAGCACCAACAACCTACAAGATACAAAAATCAAGTGTTTACTTATCTATCCAGCCTGTAAGTGATGATTAAACTGCTTGTTGTTTGTTAATTTAGTCAGATTTTGTTTTACAATAGCTGACTTAGATGAAGATCCTGATTCCAAAGGCTTTAAAAACTTTTTGCTCTAACTGTGACACACTTTTGTGGCTTTTTTTGCAGTGATTGCTTGGTCCAGGGGTAGACTGGTTTCCTTTTCCAACCAGCATGCACACAGCCTCTCTTTGATTTATAGCTCCACGCAGGCGCTATCATTGTGTGTGCTGGTCTGAGAATCTTGACTGCATTTAGAGGAAATAGAGGGGGAAGGCAAATGAGCAGTGTTTAGACGCAATGAGAAGAGGGAGAGCAGGGCGTTAGGGTAACATGACACACAAGGAGAAAACGGGAAGATGGAGGGTAATGGAGGTAGCGGTGGGAGGGCAGCAGGTTTAACAGGGTCTCTCGTCCTGTGAATAAGAAGCAGCAGTAATCAGAGGTGTGGACTCGAGTCACATGACTTGGACTCGAGTCAGACTCGAGTCATTAATTTTATGACTTTAGACTTGAAAAAATGTTCTAAGACTTGTGACTTGACTTGGACTTTTACACTAATGACCTGGGACTTGAATTGGACTTGAACCGGTTTACTTGAAAAGACTTGATATTTTACCCCAAATATAAAATTTAACATGCCTATTATATAGAGATTGAAAATGTGACGTCATTCACGGGTAGAACCGCAAAGGATTCTGGGAACTCGTGGCAAGAGGTACTAGCGCACGCAGGCTTTCAATTAAAATCAGTCACACAGCGATAAAAAGAAACACAAAAATGTCAAGAAGCTGTTGTATTATTAACTGCAATAGCCAGTCGCATGACAGCCACGGGAAGCCGACGGGTAAAGAGATCGGTTGTTATCGGATTACGTCGTTGAAGAGAAATTGTTCGAGCCATGTTTCCGAAGTGACAAAGACGCGACGGATGGCCTGGATTGCAGCCATTCAAAGATCAAATATAACGTCCCAGAACACTCCAGCTCACAGGTTAGTCTGCTCCAAGCATTTACACAAAGGTCAGTCTTCTGTTGTAGTTAACATAATTGGTGATATAGGTTACAAGCAAGTCTGGCGCTGAACAGAAATGGTCGCGCTATGCTCCTTTGTTTATTGTGCATAAATAGTGAATTGTCCTGACACAATATTGCGTTTCGCTTCTGTTATTATGGTACATTGACAAAAACATATACTTTTATTCACAGGATAAAACAGGTTTTTTGTATCACTAATTGCCCAGTACGATTACAGCATACAGTATTATTGTCACTGCTACATTTCTGTGATGGGTACCAGAAATTATTTCCACTACTAATTAATTACCGTTGAGCTCAAAGGTCCTATTAATAAACGGTTAAGGAATGTGTATTTATGACAACAATTTGTGAGACTGGTAAACTTATGATACGTACGATGGTCTTTCGTTCTACACGGTGCATTTCAAGGTCCTGCACCCATCCGTCGGTAAACTGTACCTGGGCTTGTTGCAGTGACCTGAAGTTACTAAACTTCATGAGTGTATGCACTCACTCCAAGAACCGTATGATTATAAATACCGGTATGCATATAAATATGCTACGATGAGATAGCTGACTTCATCTAACTAGCAAATGTTTTCAAGGCTACGTTGGTGATGCAGTTTTTTTTTTTAAATGATATTTTAAAAAAATATATCATTTATTTATGTATGATATTTTTGTCATGCGATTTCAAAGCCGGTCCTACAACCGCATCCAAGA